TGTTAAATAAAAGCTTGTTTTTAAAAAATATTTTTTTTACATTATTTTATTTTCTAATTTTTAGTCCATTTATAAAAGCGTTGCATATTAAAAAGTGTTATTTTATTTTATGTACAAAATTTTGCAATAGATATTAAAATAATTCAACTTGCAATGAAAGAGAAAAGAAGACTATGCATATGCATACATATGTACATATAGCAGCAGTTAATTTCATTTAAAGAAATGGCGTGTCGTCCATTTCCGCTGTAGCGTATTAAATGGTGAATATATTTAGGCGGAATATTTAACTTCTTCTGGCGGGGCGACATTTGGAGTATTCTAATTGTATCTCCTTGATATGATGCCAACAACGAGGTTCATACCTAGACTAGGTTGATATCTAGAATTTGCCACAAATAGCTTTGCTACACTACCGCCGGCAGCCTTAACATTTTATAGTGGTTTTACGTTCTTTGGCAAATTACGCTCTGTTAGCCATAAATCTTACTATTTTTTGACCGCCTTTGAATCAAGACCCCTGGACCATATGCGGAATTCATTTATATTTTAATTGCATTGTCATCGTGATTGGAACTATGCTGAAAATTTCAAGTCTCTAACTTGTCGGGAAGTTAGTTTAAAATCGATTGGAAATTTCCGCGATTTCCGCGGGATGACCAAGTTAAATAAAAGCTTATAAAAAAAGCTAATAAAAACTAAAAACTCGCTTTCGTACTGTCATCAGGTCACTTAAGAATGGAAATTTAAAGCAATTCCAATTCGTACTGTCAGCAGGTATGTAACTTGAGAATGGAAATCGCTGCATCTTTGAGGCGCATCAATATTACACAGTTACATCCCAAGCTAACAAAAGGGAGGTAAAAACCGCATTAACAAACAACCGATTTGAGTCAACACATATTTCTCTTTAACCTTTATTCCTCAGTCTTTACAGCGCACTCGATTAAACCGTATTGAAAAGTAAACAAACGCCGTTAGTTTCATTCGATATTTATTTAATAATAAATTTGCAGGGTGGACAGAAATGGAAGCGAATTGTAATACAAATCTATTATAATAATAAATACCATTATATACAGGCTTTATACCCGCTGTATAAAGAAAAAATACCCAATTTTTATTTCGTGTTAAATGAATTATTCGTTAATACGGGTGTTCTAACCGATGTGAGAAATAAAAACCGATTTGAAAACAAATTCGAGTCNAGTAATACAAATCTATTATAATAATAAATACCATTATATACAGGCTTTATACACGCTGTATAGAGAAAAAATACCCAATTTTTATTTCGTGTTAAATTAATTATTCGTTAATACGGGTGTTCTAACCGATGTGAGGAATAAAAACCGATTTGAAAACAAATTCGAGTCAATACACTTTTCGATTTCAACGAAATTTTGAAATTTTGTTTATGCATCTGTTTTGAATCACACCGAACTGAGTCACAGCGCTTTATGTGTCGGTATAAACAAGGTATCTGTTTGTTTTATTTAGTTTTCAAAGAACGTGAGTTTGCCCAGTTAATTAAATACAGATGCAATTACATATGTATCGAAACAGTCACATTTACAGATGGAAATACATATCGTGTAAGAACACTTTAAGTAGTCTTCTCGTCATATCCTGAAGTAGATAAGAACCATGATAAAAACCAGGGACATAACAGTTATAAGTCCATAACAGTTATTAGATGAGAAATATTTTTTATTTCGCCGATAAAAGTTATAACTCAACGTTTACTTTTTACGTTGCCCGATAACTGTTATGCAGGAGAAATATGTTTTCTGTTGCAAGTAAGAGTTATTTCCCAGCGTTTATTTTTTACGTTGCCAATGTTTATTTTTACGTTTTCTGATAACAGCAGTAGTGTTAATAATGAGCCTACAGATAGTAAGGTAACTTTTTCTTTTTTTGTTTACAAGCTCCGTGATTCAAAACTGGTAGAGTTCTCGGTGTCATATACATATATATGTATGATTAATGAGTGTTAGATTTTTAGAAGCATAATAGTCACATCCGAGACATTTTAACGGCAATATATTTTTCAGAACTGGTTTTACTAAATTGGATACGCATATTTTTGCAGAATGCCAAGGCCAAAAAAGTCCTCACAGGCGGTAAAAATAGATTTAAACTTTAAATTTTAAATAACAGTGTTAATTTTTAAAATTTTGTTTTAATATGTGTTTTTTATAAAGTCAATTCACAATATACAAACTATAAATAAATATTTTATTTTACCTATATATTTACATTACACCGGCATAATTTCTTAAACTAGGAATTTTCTTACATTTCAACTATTCCACACGATTGACTGCTGCAATGTGTGGAAGATTCGTCACGCAGTTTAAGCTCGACTTTCACATTTTTTGCACAGCAACACCGCTGGCCAGTACGGACTGGTGAAGCCGATGGGCTTTGTGACTGCTTATCCCCTGATGACGATGACGGACTCATACCACCGGCGGTAAAATTAAAGGTAGGACTCTCCGATCCTTTCTTCTGCTTCACGCGGCGATTCTGAAACCAAATTTTCACTTGCTTTTCCGAAAGACGCAACCTGTTAGCAATTTCAATGCGTCGCAGGCGTGACAGATACGCGTTCAGCGAGAATTCACGCTCCAGCTCGAGTAGTTGGGTGCTGGTAAAGGCCGTACGAATGCGTTTGCTCGAGTCCGCGTAGTCCGCAATGACAGGTGTAATGTCAAGAGGCAAGCTACGACCGCACGACACGACGGTAGATGTGGTGGAGGAAGAATAAGATAAGTTGGAGGTTGTGGAAACGGAACAATGGTTGGTCGGGCAGCGACTCGAAATGCTTGCGGGAATGCAGATTTTATGAGGCGAACTGGCTGGCGAACAGGAAGTGGAATCTTGTTTGAAGCGTTTTGCCGACGGCGCTTCTTCACCATAGGCACCAAGTTCTGGAGTGGATCCCGTGGATGAGGCAGACGGTGATATACAGAAAGCATCAGTGAGTGGTAATGTAAGGTTGTTATATGGTAGTGTTGTTGGAGTAGAATAGCTTTCATAGCCGGGTGATTTTCGTTTGTGGGACAACATCGCCGCGGTGTAGGGATGCATAAGAGGCGAGTGCGTTGGCGTCGTCGGGGAGTTGGATTGGTGATGGAATGATGCTGCCGCTGCAACTGCTGCCGCAGCTGCTACTTGTTGCTGCTTATGGTGGTGCTGTTGTTGTTGTTGCTGCTGCTGAATGCCCAGGGAAAAAAGATAGCTGCCCACATAGCTCGCCGGATACGGGAACATCGGCATGTTTGGCAATATGGCTGCTGCAGCCGCAGCCGCCGCGGCAGCTGCCGCTCCCATTGCTGGTGGCGTTGATGGACCAGATATCAGGGGCTGCGTGGCAGTCGGTGAACCCAATGTATCCTTTTGTGTCAATGGAACATCGCTGAGTAAAGAATCCATTAAAAATGATCGCGACATTTTCAACACAAATCAGTTTCCAATACACGGAAATGTCTTCAAATATTTAGTTCTGCCAGTAACCGCTCACGATCAAATTCACTGTGTAACTGTGCTAACGAACAGCAAGTGATCCTGCTTTATATACCAGGGTGTCGAAGTAAGGGAGGATTTACTGGGAGAAACTACCCCTGATGTATCAGTACGGCCATATTTTACTAACGAAAGAGTCCATCTTCCTACCACAACATATTATCATTTGAGGGTAGTAATCGGTTGCTTACTCCGGCCAGTCTCGTTTCAACTCGATACTTTAGAATTCAGCCAACTATTAACACACCATTTAGAGACTCTTAACTCGCTATCAATTGACAAATTATAAAACTGTAGTTTGTTTGTTGGCACACCCTCCCCTGGACACTTTTTACATATGTATGTTTGTACATTCATGCATTCAGATGTGAATTTGTTAATAGTTTGTAATTGTTGCCATCTATGCTCCGCCCTTCTATTCCTGCTCTTCAGATTGTATTGTAATATCGTAGCATACGGCAGGTACGTGCTGTGACCTCAGGTACATACATAAGTATTTATGCATGTACTATGCATTCATCCACACACAAATGTATCTTCCATTTGTAAGAATGTTTACGAGTGCAATACTGAATCTGGCTTACGCCAAGCAGCTGTGTTTCTAAATTATATTAGAGTTCATCCCTAATTTTGAATATTTTCGTAAGTTACGTTAGGCAATATACATATATGTTTGGTAAGAGTTCTCCATGCGTAAGTAATGTAAATACATATTTTTAATTATACACTACAATCATCAATACAATCATCGCTATTTTATAGATTAATAATCATGATTGTTTTTTTTTAAATTTCTCGCTTATCAGAAATTACTGTTTGATTATTATACTACTCGACAGCCGAAAGGCATATTTTTAGGGTATGCTTAAGTAGCTAATTCTGAACTCCCTCGTTTTTTTGTGCTTTGTTCTTGTTTGCATTCTATTGCGAGTTTTATAAAAGTTTTTGGATGATAAAATTCTGAAAGCTATATTTTCAATTAACATGCAAAAATTTTACTGATGCAAACGAATATGCAAGGTTGTAGTTCGCATAAATAAGAAAAATATAGTGCACGCTTAATCGCATTCTTAAGGAAACTAACAGGAATTTTTGTTTAAATTTCATAAAATAATTTTTTCGGAAGCTGAATAGTTTTCATTTTATCAAAACTAAAGGACCCTTAGTCATAGTAAATAAATGAGCATACGGGTTTTAATCAGGAAAAAATTACGTAACTATCGAATATTATTTGTCAATGGTGAAATTAGTCTATCTCAAGTGTACCATATTAGCCGATTTTGCCTTTATATATATATATATATATGGTTGTTTTTCGAAGTTAGTGGGGATAAGCTTCACTTTTCTGTTGGGGAATATGCTTGGGTCTTCAAAGCCATGGAGTACGTGGTGGAACATAGGTGGAGGGGAAGGAGTTTACGTGTCTGCAGTGACAACCAAGCTACACTTAAGGCATTGGCCAGCCCTCTTACCATTGCCATAACGAGATTTTTTTACTCTGAGTGCCAGGTCACTCAGGAGTACCTGGTAATGAGACATCTGACCATTTGGCCAGAATTGGCTCAGACCAGGCATTCCTCAGTCCGTAACCAGTTTTAGCACACCCACTTTCGGCCATCGAANCTCAGGAGTACCTGGTAATGAGACATCTGACCATTTGGCCAGAATTGGCTCAGACCAGGCATTCCTCAGTCCGTAACCAGTTTTAGCACACCCACTTTCGGCCATCGAACAACCATCAGAAACTGGGTGAATACTGCGCTCAACAATGACTGGGTGCCATCGAGGGGATGCAGGTGGGCAAAACTCATGTTGTCTTCAATCTCAGAAGGTCTATCTAGTTTTTTGCTCTCACTGAGCGGACGACACTGCAGACAACTTGTTGGACTGCTGACTGGTCACTTCACGTGGCACAAACAACTGACTGGCAAGTCCATCCTGCCTTGAAGATGACGACTCGGTGGAACACTTTTTGTGCTTTTTGCTTGCTTGGATGTTTGTCATCGCTTTATCTAGACTCGTTCTTTTCTCAATTGTCAGTTAATTAAAAGTTTGGCGTAAAAAACCCAACCCGTTTTGTTGTTATAAGGTTCTGTGTTTTAAAAATATGAGTGATAAATATTTTACGCCTCACTTTAAAACTTGGAGCGATAAAAATAAAAATGATGCCATCAACACAAATAAACTATTTTACAAATACTCCACGTACAAAGTCATGAGTGAGCCGAACATTTGATGAGTTTATGGTGAAGATAATGTAAATAACGCAAGGGCTCGAAGTGCTCTTAAAAAATATAACTCCTCAGAGCGAGGGGGTACTTTGATGGACTTACGCTCTCTATTTTTTAAAACCTTCAAGTGTGTAATCACATTATTTTAATAAATGTAAATAAAAAATAATAGAAGGAAAATATTTTAGGTAAATTTTGGCCACTCCGAGTTTAGTTTTTAAATACACCCGCGATGAAACTTTACATAGTTAGATCTAATCTTCAAATTTCATTTTTTTACGTGCTTTGGGAATATTTTTATAGTGGAAACCATCGATAGTTGATGACAGTTTTTTGTGTCACTATCGATTGTGCCGATAGTCATTTTTTCCGATAGTGAGCTTCCGATAGTGTGGATAAATTTTTTTAATTTGAATGCAGCACAAAGACATGTAAAAATTACGTTTGAAGGTTATATGAATTAATTTTTTTAATTATGTTTCAAATTGCTAAAGGATCTCGTTCATTTTTGACAATTTTTTTGCTAACAGTGTCACGCATTTTCTTCCATATAAAAACGAACTTCTTTGTATAGAAGAAAATGCGTGACACTGTTTGTTATATTAGAATTTAATGGACTATAAAATTGCATACCAAACATTTTTCTCAAAATTCTGATTTCAAAGCAGTGTTGCCATTTGAGCCGTTTTCCGGATAGATTTAGCCTGTTGTGATAGAAAACAGCCGGAGAAATTTCGGTTTAGCCGGAAGCCGATTTGTTAGCCGTTTTGTAAAAAAAATTAGCCGTTTCTAGCCGATTATGCTATTTACCTTGCTTTCTTAAAATTCAAATATATATATTTTTTTCATTTTTGACTAAGCGATCCAAAATCTGTTAGAAATGGCTACTAGCCTTATCGGGAATCAAATTTTCATGTCAGGCAGGGTTTTTTTCATAATGTTTGTTATGAATGACTTAAATTTAAGTGTGAAGTTTAATTCGCAAACTTAGAAAATAACAAATTGTTTCACTGTTTGCTTAACACGCGTTAACATGCTCCCAAATTCACACTCAAGTAGAGAAACTTGCAAATTTCTGCACAAACGCTAGTGTCCACGGTTGCATTTCAAACATAAGAAATTTCTATAGAATTTTTAAATTATTCAAATTATCGTCGACAAAAAATTCAACCATGTGCCACAATCATATGTTTTTCCTAATTGAAAATTCTTGCTGGCAAAATTTTCCAGCTTGAATTTGCAACTTATTTCCAAGAACTATAACTAAGTCTTTCTACTTATGATTTATTAAAAATAAAACATGTGAAATTTATTTGAAACAGTTTTGTCGTTTTTAGCCGGTTTTTTTGCCAATGTAGCCTGTTGGCCCAAAAAGTTCTGGCAACACTGTTCCAAAGTTTGAAATTTTGGTGAACATGTGAAGAATTTTATTAATTGTTGCACAAAGTTTGAAATTGGGATTTACATGGTTTTTGTTAGACGATAAGCTGGGCTTTTATAGAAAATTAATAAGCTTTAACGAAAATTTTGAAGTGTATTTATGTCTATCTGGCAACTCCAAACATATTTTATTTACTCTTATACTATCTAAGTAATTTGTTCGTAACACATTCGGCAAAGTAAGTATTTTTAAGCTACTTAATACGCTCTCGTATTTTTCCACTTATCTCACTCCTGTAATATACTTGATTGAATAAAGACGTACTAAAATTGATATTCCGCTGCCTACATTAATACGTTCTGACAGGTTATGGGCCGACGCTATAAGAAAAAATATAAGTTTATGAATTGTGTTGTTAAATTTTTGAAAGATGAGCGCAGGTGGTTTATACGCGATCGAGAAATTGGACGATACCAACTATTCTTCATGGGCTATCCAAATGAAGAGCGTTCTGGTGCACTCGGAATTGTGGCCTATTGTGTGCGGAAGGCTGGTGAAGGCTGTTGGTATAAATCCTTCTCAACTTAATCATATAAAACACTGCGTCACATCGCTGAAAGCTTGGAATAAGCTAAACGAGATTTATCAACCGCGCGGACCAGCCTGCAAAATAACCATATTTAGAAAAATGCTCTACCTATGTATGTCGGAAGGTCAACATATAAAAGAGCATATCAACGACTTCTATGTAATTTGGGAGCAGCTAAAAGAAATTGAAGTAACTGTACCTGAAGACCTGTTATCTATAATTCTACTTTCCAGTTTACCAAAATCATACGACAATTTTGTCATTGCTATAGAGGCTTGCGACTCTTTACCAGCGCTGGAAATATTAAAAATAAAACTGCTGGAGGAAGGTGCGAGAAGGCTGGAGAGTGGTGAAGGTGAGAACGGTAGCGCATTTGAGAAAGCCTTTGTCGCTCGAACAAATGTGCGCAAAGGTTACAATCGTAACAGCAGCAGTGGAAATAAAAGGTATACCAACCTCAAATGCTACAATTGTGGTCGACGTGGACACATCGCAGCTATGTGCAGAGAAGCGAAAAAAAAAACGCAATTCGGAGATGAAAAAACGTCATTTGCTATTTTAGTATCCACTTTGTCGCTTGTTTTAAATAAACAAAATTGGTTTGTAGACAGCGGAGTGACGAGCCATTTATGCTGTGACCGCGAGTTATTGAAAAACTACAAAGAGGAGATAATTTTGTTAGTAGGAGACAATTACATAGAAGCGAGCGGAATAGATGAAGTTGACA